AGGAAAATGCTGAAATTAGCCCACTAGCTCATATGAACATGAGCCCAACAACCCAAATTGAATCTAAGTTGATCTAACGGTCACAACCTCATTTCATATTTGAATTTTAATTTTTTTCTACGAATCCAAATAACTTGAAATTTTAGGCGTGTATTCTTCAAATATAGGAGGATTTTATAAAAATATCAAAAAATTAATTTGCAGGAAATAAATTAACCAAAATACCCCTGATGAGAATAATGGACACCAAATATTCAAGTTATTTGGATTTGTAGAGAAAAAAGTAAAATTCAAATACAAAATGAGGTCATGACCGTTAGATCATCTGGGCAATTGGGCTCATATGTTCATATGAGCGAGTGGGCTAATCTCAGCATTTTCCTATATATTTATATATATATAGTTAGTTAGTAGAAAGCCAAAATACTTAGCACAGCACAGTGAAAAACATTCATTATAACTAACTTTATATAGATAGAAGAAAGCCAAACTACCCTAACACAACACAATGAAAAACATAATTTAATTGGGTATGTGTCTTAATCTGTCTAAAGCATCAAATGACCTTGGCTCTATTACCATGACATTCATAATCATTGACTGGATGCTATGTCAAGGCAGTTTTCATACACAGGAAGATATTGTATCTTTGAAGAAGTTTTTCCTTAACTAATTTAGTTGTAAGGAAAGCTACGGAACAAGCAATCCAACATCATCCATAATGAACTTCACATTGTAATCTTTAGAGCATTTTATTCTAACGAAACTTCTAAGATAGATATATTCAAACTACAACAGACATGGAATTCTAAATTACCATAACATTTGAGAATGGTGCAAGACTCTGCATCTGAGAATTAGTGTGTCCATAGGAATATGTTGCAGCATTAACTTGTGAAGCATTTTCAAATGCATAACTGGGAGCAGAAGTAAATGGGTACTGGTGACCTTGCCCTGCAGCATCTACTGCATCATGCTTCATGATGTCAGCCTGCGAAATTGGAGTTGATTCATAACTCCCAACACCCGGGACATTTCGAGAACCCATATTCTCAGTCGAGGTAGAATTCAGCTGCTCACTGCCATGGTACTCAGAAGTCCTGTAGAGAAAAAACAAATAATACATAAATGAGTCATAAGAACCGCAACGACATTTTTCTAAGTTTTCTGTCTGCAAAGAACTGACCTCATTTCTGCCTGCTCCGAGGAAGAAACAGGGGTGTCCTCTGAGTTATCCTGGGGGCTCTTTGTTGTCATTGTAACAGAATATGCAGCACTGATACCAGATCCAAAGCTACCAAAGCTCAAATGTGAGAAATCTGCTGATGGAACCTGGAGATGGTCTGGAATTACCAATGCAGAATTATCTTCTGTAGGTAGTGCACCCTTTTCCTCTTTCTGTAAACTCAATTGCTGCAATTTTGCAGCATTTGATGATATTGCTGCATTCACATCCTCAGCTGCAGACGGTAATCTATAGTCTGGAAGAGGCATATGCAAAGCATCATCACCACCTGAAAAGAAAAAATTCAACCTTTAAAATATGTTTCTCCATAGATGCGGACAGTAACCTTCTCGTGCTATCCAGCAATGTGAAACCCCAAGCTAATACAAAAAACGTAGCAAGAAGAATGTTTTCCTTGAACTAGACTTTGCAGAACTTGCAATTTGCAACACTAGTCATAATCCATGATAACAAGGGCAAGTACAGTGAAAAGCTACAATTCCATAAAATAACAATGTGCGATAAGACTTTCTCATCAATTCACAGCAAGATTCTCAACAAAATTCTAGCAACAGATTATGACAATCATTTCTTTGTAGATTACAAATTATGGTAATCTGACAAAACTAAGATGACATTAGAGACAAAGTACATAGTCAAGCGTATTAGAATCATCCAGACATTTAATAAACCCTATTGATACTTCAAGAAACAGAAAAAGATAATTGCATAAACAAGCCATCAAAAACAATCTGAGCTAATTAGAACTTTCACTTAGAATACTCAAAGTAGAACTTCAATGCCCATCCTGCCAGTAACCCAGATGATTCAGCCTCAGGAACTGGTGTCATTTTGTGTATCTTGAAGTATGAGTTTAACCATGCTTATGGCATTTGTATGACCCCAAAAATTGTAAAAATTACAAGTTTATTGTGTACTGAAGCTGAATCATCTGGGGGGGGAGGGGGGGAGGGAGAGAGAGAGAGAGAGAGAGAGAGAAGCTATACGTACGTTACTTACCGTACTAACTAACGTTACGTAGTTACGTCGGTAGTAGTAGTAAGTTACTTACGTAACGTAACCGTACGTAG